CAGCTAATGGGATGAGGCATCTCTAGGATCTGCCAGAGACCTGAGACTGGGAAGTCTTCCAGGAGTCAAAGTAGGTGACCTAAGTTGAGACGCTAAGCAGTAGAGAGAGATATGACACCTGAAGAGGCCACCTCCTATAGCCAGGCAGGACTCCCCCACTGCCCCACAGTGGAAGGATAAAGACACCAATACACCCACAAAAATTTCAACCCAAAATTTGTCCTATTTAAAAGAAATGCAGGGTCAAAAATGGAATAGATCAATGGAACGGCTAACAAACAACCTGCCCAACTTGAGATACATCTCATGGGTAAGCACTGATCCCTGACACTATTAATGATACTCTGTTAAGCTTGCAGACAGGAAGGAGCCTAGCATAATTGTCCTCTGAGAAGCTCCACCCAGCAGCTGACTGAAACAGAGACTCACAGCTAAACATTGGACAGAGCTTGGGGACTCTTACGGAAGAGTTGGGGGAAGGATTGAGAACCCCTAAGGGGATAGGAACTCCATCCCAACAGAGTCAAGCTACTTGGTCCCTTATGGACTCTCAGAGATTGAACAACTAACCAAAGAGCATACACAGGCTAGACCAAGGCCTCCATATGCATATGTAGCAGATGTGCTGCTCAGTATTCATGTGGATTCCAAAACAACTGGATCAGGGGCTGTCCCTAAAGCTATTGCCTGTCTGTAGAATCCATTCCCCTAACTGGGCTGCCTTGTCTGGCCTCCATGGAAGAGGATGTGCCTAACCCTCAGAGATTTGATGTACCAGAGTAAGGGTGGGGGGATATTCAGGATGGTCACCCTCTCAGAGAAGAAGAGGGTGTGTGGAGGGAGGAACTGTTTAAGGGGGTAGCAGGAGGAGGGGCAGAGATCAGGACACAAAATGAATAAATCAATAAATTAATGGGGAAGACTAAGAAGTGTTTTTCAGATGACCATCTCTAAGGGCCAGTGTGATAATTTTCAGGGACACCTTAAACAGAATATACTTAGAACAGTGGTTTTCCAACTTCCTAGGTCTGCAACTCTTTCTTTCATAAAATACTTCATGTTGTGGTGACCCCTCCCCACCAACCATAAAATTATTTTTGTTGCTGCTTCACAACTGTAATTTCTATACTGTTAGGAATCTTCTTTTATTGGATGTTTTATGCATTTACATTTCAAATCTTATCCCCTTTTTGGGTTTCCCCTCCAGAACCCCCCTATCCCATCCAACTCCCTCTGCTTCTATTAGGGTGCTCCACCACCTACCCACCCACCCACCCATCCACCCACTCCCAACTAACGGCCCTGGCATTCCCCTACACTGAGACATCAAGCCTTCACAGGACCAAGGACCTCTCTTCCCATTGATGCCAGACAATGCCATCCTGTGCTACATATGCACCTGGAGCCATGGGTCCATCCATGTGTACCCTCTGGTTGGAGATTTAGTCCCTGGGAGCTCTGAGCGGGGAGGTCTGGTTGGTTGATATTGCTGTTCTTCCTATGGGGTTGCAAAACCCCTTCAGCTCCTTCAGTCCTTTCTCTAACTCCTCCATTGGGGTCCCCATGTTCAGTTCAATGGTTGGCTGTGAGCATTAGCCTCTGTATTTGTCAGGCTCTGGCAAAGCCTCTCAGGAGACAGCTATACAGGCTCCTGTCAGCAAACACTTCTTAGCATCTGCAATAGTGTCTGGGTTTAATGTCTGTATATGGGATAGATCCCCAGATGTGGCAGTCTCTGGATGGCCTTTCCTTCAGTCTCTGCACTACACTTTGTCTCCATATTTCCTTTAGACAGGAGCTATTCTAGGTTAAATATTTGTAGATGAGTGGGTGGCCCCATCCCCCAACTGGTGGCCTTGCCTAACCTCTGGATATGGTCTCTACAGGTTCTCTCTCCCCTCTGTTGGGTATTTCAGCTAATGTCATCCCTGTTGGGTCCTGGGAGCCTCTTGCTTTCCTGGCATCTGAGACTTCCTGGTGGCTATCCCCAGTTCCCCATTTCCCATTCTGAAAGGCAAGATATCTGAGAAGTGACTCACAGGTTGAGAACAGCTGACTTAGAGGAATAATGAACTTTTCAAGTTCTGGATTTGGCTTTAACAAGTGAGGCATCTTCCATGTTTGGGATATTCTAGCCTTAACATATCCACTCTTGGACTCTTTTCCTCTACTCATTCCTACCTACTAACATGCCAGCTACACTTTTCTGGTTCCAAAACCTGAACTTCAAGTCTTTTTTGTACATTTTCCCCAAGGAAAAATTGTCTCCTTTGCTCACCCTGAAACTTTTCCATAAAAAAAGAAAAAGGATTTGCTTTTATGTTATATCTTCACCCCATCCATTTATACTTTAATGCCCACATGTTACTCACATAGAAGTTTAAATGCTGATTTTATCAAATGAGCCACTATGCACCACAAATTCCACCAACCCGACTGCCAGCCCCCATCTTTTGCCTCTTTCCTATTAGATCTACAAGAAGAGATCAGGAGTGCTTTGAACAAATAGTTTTATTTAGTATATGTTTATCTAAATATATATGTCCTAATCTACTACTATTTCCATACCCCTGACGCCACAATACCCCTTTACCTTTGGCCCCTCCTCTCTTCAGTAGAGAATACATAGCTAAACATTAAATTAGAGTAGAGAGAAATAACACTAGTAGATAATATTTAAAGCAACAGCAACAAGTAGATAAGTAACAAGCACATTAGTAGGAATAATGTTCGTTCTCCTGTTGTAGCATGGCAAGTCTTCTTTCATTCTTCTTGTCAAGATGTAATTCATCAACATCACTTCAGGAAACCTTATTTCCTCTGTCATTTGAGTAGTATTTGACAGGGTTACAGTCTTTGTCCCAAAAGGCATCAGTTCCACACAGTCTGTATCACTGTTAGGTTTGAATCAGCAGCAAGTATATGATATGCCTATGTACAGGTGTTTGGGATAATTTCCATCCATTCACAGAGCTGTGAGAAACACTGAAAAGCTGATGGCATTAAGGTATCACCATATTCAGTTCCATTTCGTAAGGGAGGGGGACACCTCAAGCAAGTGATGAGTGAAATTTCACTAACTACCATACAGATTCTAAGTTTAAAGACCTTATTTTTTTCTACTTTTTTATAGTTAAATATTTTTATTCTGGGATATTTTTACACAGACTTTTCCTCTGCACTAAGTTGCAGATACAAAAGCATTGACAGCCTCTTGTCTAAAATTACGAATACAGAATTCACCTTCCCAACTCTTAATGCAGACTTCCCACCATTGACTGAAAATTTCTATAAATCAAAGGCCATGAGGCACAGTATCTATTAGGTACCTTCTAAGATCTTTCTATAAAAATAAGCTGGCAAACTTTACTTGCAGGAGGTCTCATCACAAAAGAACGGGGAATTCATTCCAGATGCTACGTTTCAACTAATCCAATTAACATAAATTCATTTACATAAATCTGAGCACAGACACTTTTACTTGAGCCTGCATATATTATGTCAGGAAAATCTCAGGAGGCTAATCTCCACTGTTTTCTCCATGTGCTCCTTGAGCAGCCAGATAAGGCTTACTCTGAAATGCAAGTTCATATTTGAAGCTGAAATTTTATATAATCACCCCAGGAGTCTTTAGTTTTTCAATATGACGTAAAATCATGAAAATTAACACTTGCTGATAAGTATCATAAGATCTTACTTTGAGAATTATAATACAAAGTCATAGTCACACACAAGATATTACTATCACTATTATAAGGGAAGTAAGTGTGAAATATACATATAAAAGTCTGTGAACAATGAGTATCAGACTAAACAACTTCATTTTTACTCTCATATTGTTCGTACCTGGTATACTTCCTTTCTTTCCTTATGTGAGACAGATGACAATACTGTGTCCATTAGTGAAACTCTGCTTCAGAGTCTAGAGATGTTGACAGTCTTCAGAAACAACAAAATTGTGAAATATTATGTATACTACTATGTTATATCATGAATGTATGTTGGTGTTATACTTGGATGTTTATGTTAGTGTACATATATGCACTTCTAGAATTATGTGTGACAGTGTGGAAAGATACCTTAACCTATAAGATACACCACAATTTACAGTGAAAGATTCTATCAGCTTAAAAGACATGAGAAAGAATGTATATGTCACATATACAGTGACTAAACCATGATTACCAGCATCCCGGATATCTATGCCAATAGAGAAATTCCCCCACTCCAATATTGTCCCATTAAGGTTGGATATCAGACAGGCTACATGTAGGTCTTAGTCTCATCAAAGCATTTTTCCAAATATCCTAACTGGTGCCAAGATACAGTTTCTTGATATTTAAAACACATAATAAATGTATTTGAATTTGTAAAAGGGGAGAATCTAGCAATTTCTCTGTTCTATCACTTCTGGTATACTCTCTTTGTTCTAATAACCTGATACTGCCAGTAAGATTTATCCTATAAACTGTTGTCTCCAGATGTGAAAACAAATTTTGCAGTAATATTTACGCAACAGTTTTGTTGGGCCTTCCAGGTGGCTAATAACCATTGTTCAGAAAAGGGTTGGCTAGGGTGAGTGGTGCAGTCTATGTAAAAGGACACACATGGGGATTATAAACCATGTGACCACAGTTCTTTAGCACCTTGCCCGAACCCACAGAGCTAAATGGCTGCACATGGGTTAGAGCCTAGGATCTAGAGCTCATTAGCACCATGTTCCAACCAAATGAGCCCTTCAGCCAGAAACTTCTTACAATGGTAGCACCCTCAGACTTGGCTGGGTACTGAATTCAGATCAGTTGCTGCTGGAAAATTTCTAAACAAAGGCCCACATGAAGTTGAAACTATTCATATGCCCAATTTCTCAAGCATCCACACATCACCAAAACTGCTGTATAGAATTCCGAGACTGTAACGTTCTCAGCCAAGTCAGAAGCAAACTTTGAAGCTGGATTATCTGTCAAGCATGGAACATTCCAGATCCCAAGCCTTACTGTGGATGAAAGAAGTTTGATTCTTTATATAGAATAGGGGTGGGGTGGGGAAGTGCTTTCTTAGGGAGTATAGAACATTAGGTTAAAGTATTACAATGATAGCCCTTTACCCAAATGTCTCCTGTCCAGACAGGAGAAGAAGGCTATCAGAGCTACCTACAATGCTTCTACAAAACTTGGGGTACTCCAGTAAAATTCGACTTTGCCTTCTCCATGTGGGGAGGCAGAACCATAAGCAGGCAGTCCATTATCCTGGGAAATATCTATTCTTCCAAATGGTGAGTGAAAAGGAAATACACATATCTGTCCTTAAGATAGTCAGAAGTATTTACATAGCATGTTGAAAAGATACACAAGCAGAGCTCACTACTCACAAAGACTACTAATTCTCAAATCAGCTGAAGCCAAAAGGAGATCACAGGTAGGTTGGCAGTTTAAAATGGTCATAAATAGAAGATTCAGTCATGTTTACAGCCTAAAGCTACTCCAAATATGTATTCATATATTTTAGTAATACAAGTTCATTGTTTTGTAATTGAGTTATTAATAATATGACAGGATTAAATTAAAAGAATGAAAAGGACACCTAAAAGGGACAATGGAAAATATTATTTAAACATGAATTAGGTCTTTCCCCCAATTTGTCCTTTATGGAAAAAGGAGTTCAACACTATAGCAAGTGTGGTAATTTACTAGAAACATCTGAAGTGCTGAACCCCCCCAAAACCACCACATATTTTTACCAAGTGAAAACAGAGTAGCTGGAAGCTAACTCTCATTCCCTCATTTCCTGACCCTAGACACTTGTCCATACCTTACCAACCAGGAGATATCTCAGTAGAGACTGGATAACTTGTCACTGTTACAATTTTTTTAAACAAGAAGAAAGATTATAATGAGAAAAAGAAATGGGAATAGAGAAGGAAGTGAAAAGGAGAAGGATGAGTAAAAGGTAGAACAGGAGCAAGGAAGAGGAAATGGACAAAGGCTAGAAAAGGGGTGAGACCAGGGGGAGGCCAAGGATACTGAGAAAGAGACAAAGAAGAAGAGAGGAAATTGAGGAGGACCACAAGTTCATTCTCATCCTGGTATCATCTTGACACATGCAACCATGGATGCTGTCCCAAGAACCTTAAAACACTATCTCCAGAATAATGGCAGTGACAGGATGAGGTATCATTTCTTCTTCTTCCTCCTCCTCTCTTCTGCAGAGTTGAAAGTGTCCATAAGCTAAAGAGACAGAGATAATTAAAACAATGGTAAGCTTAAGCACATTACATATTTTTTCCCAGAAAAAGAAAGTCAAAAGTAAAGAGTACACGAAACTAACAAATTTTGCATGAAACTAAATGTAGAGTCAGAAACATGGAGGAGGTTTGGGATTTTAAAGTGTGAACTTGCGCTCTTTGAATTTTCTTGCACTCAGAGAGAAGCTATCACTAAATTGTTGTTCAGCAACTTGGAGAAATAACTTTGGGGTGATAATGACTATAGGGGGTGAATCATTTCACTGCATTATCAATTCCTGGGCATCTGTAATATTTCCCGTCCTCACTACCACAGGAGAAAAAGGATACAACTAAAGACTTGCATTTACAAGGTAATTTGAGTTTTCAGAGCATTCACTGAAACTTCAGAAATCATACCTTAGTCTCCTAATATTTCCACAGGAACATAATAATGAAATCAGGTCCTTATATATCTAAATAAAATATAAATACTGGTATCTATGAGCTTACCCTGTAAGTGCAAGTTCTTAGTTGACATCACCCTCACCCCTTCAATACTATTCCCTTCCTTCTATGTAACCACATGAGAAATGAATGAATTCTAGTTATTTTGATCCTATCATACCTTAGATATTTTGATAGTCAATCGCGGTCTGGGCAGCTTAAACTCTAGGCACTGCATGAAGAAAGGAGATTTCCACTGCTGGGGAGGGAGGGGGACTGGGCAGCTCATCAAAATCTTTGAATCGTGGGAATTTGGGCACTCCTGGATTGGAATCCACACTGGCAGGGGTTTGGGTATGAGATCCAGAGCTCAGTCGGCGATGCTCTCCCCTGAGGCGGCTGATTTTATCTAGTAGCATCTTCTGTATTTCCATGATGACTTTCTGAACTTCAATACGGAAACTATCACTGAGCCAGCAATAAATGTAGGGGTTGTAGCAGGAGCTACTAATTGCTAGCCAGTGGAGGAAAAAATAGAGACCATTGTGGCTTGAGATGGATTCACTGGACAGGAGCACCAGGTAGACATTGAGGGGGAGCCAGCTAATTGTATACAGAAGCACCACTGTCATCAGCATCTTTAGGGTCTGCTTCTTCTTCCCACGCTGGCAGATGTAAGTGTGGATATTGATGTCATCAACAGCATCATGGATCCACAGCTTTTTGGCCACATGACCATAGACAGCCACCAGCACCAGCAAAGGCAAAATGAAAAACAGCAGAAAGGTGCCCAGGTCAAGGTATTTCCATGTGGATTTAGAAGTATATGGGAAACTTGGGAGGCAGGCAGATTCCTCTGTTGTGTTGCTAGGTTATGAGAGAGAAAAACCAAAACCAATGATTTAGTCTTTTCCTTAAGGCTCACAAAAACTGTATGGCAATTAGATCTTAAGGGTGAGATATGTTTACTCTTTGTGTTGTATGTATATTGAGCATAAAACCAGAAGGACTGAGATTCAACTGATCCTATAGGAAAACCATAGCCCCAAAGATGGAAATTGTAACCCACTGCCATGAGGGTTTTAAGGAAATAATGACAAATTACTGTTTAGAGAAATTTATTTTTCTACATATGTTTTGAAATATGCTTATTCTAGCCCCCTAATTTCTAAATCATTCCTTGTGACGTCCAAGGCCTTGGGTTGCTAGAATAACAGCAATCATCTTACCCTATGTTCGTCTTACCCAAATTCCACTTGGTAAAGCTTCTGGTAAACAGCATGTGGCAAAGCAGCACAAGTGCTCACAATCCAGATGATGATGATGCAAACATTGCCTTGCATGGGAGTAATCCGGGCCTTCAAGGGATATAACATCACCTGAAAAGAAAAGGATCCTGCCTAACTAAACAATTCAAATTAAATCACACATCTATAAACTGCTATTCCGATAATAAAAAAAAGGGTACAAAGACTTGGTATGTGGGTAATAATGTGCTCTGTAGAGTAGTTTATTGGACATATATGTGGCATTTTTGCTTCATGAAAATATAGCACTGCTACATTTGAACAATTCAGAAATTCAAGTGGAGTGACTTCATAGCTCCTGTTTCTCTGCAGTTCTATGGAGAAAGGAGACAAATGTCCACCAGACTGACTTAATTTTCTTTATCTTCTAATGGGTGGGAAAGTACCCCACATATTCCTTCATCTACTCTTCTACCTAGCTTGCTCCATAGCCTCTCTCATCTCCCACCCCCTCCCATCTCTGTTTTCTTCATAGCAACGCTTTCCTTCCTCTTTCCTTAACTCTATGTTTGTTCCCTTATGTGTCTTTTTTTTTTGTATCCTTATCTGGATCTAACCACATACCCTTCAATTCTTTGGTCTTCCCAGACTACTCATTTTCTATCTAGTTTCTGAATTATTAACTATGTAATACCTCCTGCTTCTCACCGCTTGTCTCATTCCCTTTTAATTCTCCTAGCTCCTTATATCTCAAGTCTCTTCATCCCCCCCCCACTCAATTCCTCTGTCCTTCCTCACAAACTCCACCCCCTTCCATATGAAGCCCCCAGTCAGACCTAAAACTACATCCACATTCACCTATCCCTGCCTTCTTCCTTCCTTTAGCCAGTCCTGCAATGCAGCAAACAGGAAATGTTTTCCAAAGAAGAACATGTATCATGTGTTTATTGGCACATTTCTGTTCCCATGGCATCAGAGAAAAGATGGTAGTATTTTTTATTACATTTGATTTGATGACGTTCTTTATTTCACCATTTTTCAATCTCTCCAAATTACACAAAAACATTTACATATGTAGAGCTAGGAACTTGGGAAAGTTTGTAGATTATTTGTAACATTGCTTCTCTCCATACACCTAAAAGAAGGCTTTATCTTTTCCAAGATCTAGGAAGCACATACCCGATGTCGATCCAGGGAAATAGCTGCCATGCTCATCACAGTTACATAGGCACATGAGTACTGGGCAAAGCGACTGAGGTGACATGTCATCTTCCCAAACACCAAGGAATTACACAGATAGCGCACCTGTAGGAGAAAAGGGTTGATGATGCACAGGAACTCAGCCCTGTACCCATCCCTGTCAAAAGCCCCAAAATACAAATAAAGGTCTCCTTGCTTCACCAAACTGCTGGTATCATTCTATCAGTATGCAAAGAAATACTTATATACTCCAGTGCTCATGTTCATCATATTTTCCTCCACACAACATACTGGCTTGAAGACATGGAAGAACCCTAAATTGCAAAACCTGTTAACTAACTTCAAGTTCATACACAGCATTTGAAAGGTGGAAAAACAGAGTTAATCTTTATGATAAAACTTGGATTCAGCCATTATCCTAAAGCTCACTAGCAACAGGTCCCACTGCCTCCCTGGGCAGCCCAATACTCTTTCCCTCTCTGCCATGACAAGAGATTAATTCAACGACGCAACAACTATCCTGCCAATCTTCCTAACACATTTCCAAGCTCTTTTCAATATTTCTCAGCTTCTGCCTTATTTCCTATGAAAATGTTCTCCAAACCCAACTAATCCTTTCTAACCCTCTCCCTCCCTCCGACCACACAAAACTCACTGTTTCAAGTACCAAGTTTAACTTTAGCTCTTGCCCTGCTTCCCAGGCTACCCTCCTCAGTACCCCAGCTTACCATAGTGAAGGGAGAGCTGAGAAGAGCAAGCATCATGTTGGTCACAGAAATGTTGACAACGAAGAGGCCGGTGGCAGTGTGTACCCTCTTATACTTCATAATTATGTGGTTTAAGACCCAGTTGCCTATGATGGCAGCAAAGACCACTATGGTATACCCTACCACTAACCAGAATTGCACCTGCTCATTCTCAGATACAATTTCCAAATCTAGGGGACCTGATGTGTCAGCCAGGTCTCCCGTGTTTGGCATGTGGTCTCCGAACTTATCCATCTTGGACAACATGCCATTTCGGCCAGCATTGGATGCGGCCTGAAGCACCTGGGAGGTGGTAGAGGTGATCAAGTCATCAAAACCACTAGGTACACTCAGAGCCTCTGGGGTCAGCTCGTCCCCATAGTCCATGGTGCCAGGGCTCTGGAAAGCCTCTGGGGGCACATCTGTGGTTGGAGCATCCATCCCAGTGCCTTTAGTGGACCCTAAGGACCTTAAGCTACTCACTCAGGAGGCTCTCAAAAAAGAGGGCAAGTTAAGGCCGTGGACAGACAGCCAAGCAATCTATTTAGTGCCCTGTAGCTCTGAGCTGAAGTGTCTGGATCAGGGAGAGGGAAGAAATACCAGGAACCAGCAAAAAAGACTGGACCTGCTCAGGGTGGGCAAGTGCGCAGAGCTGAGCAGCTGAGCACAGGGCAGGCTGTCTGCAAATGCTCTTCCTGGAGAGTGCCCACAGCACCTGCTCCAAACTGGAGATGGCGTCAGGCTTCGCTCAAGCACAGATCCTCCTCCATGCTGCCAGTGAGTGTTCCGACCAAATTTCTGTTGCCTTCAGTCAGTCATCAGTCTGTAAGTCTTTCTGTCCAAGGCTGGCTGGCGCTGTGGGCAGGGCGGAGTCAGGCACTGCCACTCCAGCTCCAAGCCCGTGCAGAGCAGGCTTTCTGCAGCTGCCCTTTATAGAAAGTCCAGGGGCCCGCGCTGGAGCCAATGGGGAGCCTCGACTCAACCCCCGCCCTGTCCTTCTGGGCTGGGGAGTCTGAGAGGCTGACAAAGTCTTTGTCGCTCCTGTCTCAAGCCCCTCCTTTCCCTGCTCTCCTTTGGCTCTCCTTTTTCTAATCCTGCAGTTGGAAGCCTGGGGTAACTGTTTATGGGTTCTTCTTTTAACATCACCCTGCGTATAATTTGAATCCAGCATCTCCTCTTTCCCTTGCTTTCTGTTTCTTTTCTGCATCATCGCCCTAGGCACCGGCTAGCTGTGACACAGGTACTGAATGGAGGCTGTGGAGACTGCAGTCGCATCTGGACCAGAAAGCCAGTCAGCTGCCTGGGAAGAGTGGTCGATATGAAAGACCTGCACAGATGTGAGGGTTTCACAGAGAGAACAAGGCAGGGTGCAGCTGGAGAAACAGGAGGGAAGTTTAGCTGATGAGAAGCAAGAAAGGGTCACCTGGGAGTGAGCTCAACAGTATGTTCTGCTTTTTCTGGCCTCAGAACTGCATGCCACCGACCAGGGAACTCTGCTTCTGGCCTCTGGAAACAGGACACTCTTTTGACACCCAGGAAGTAACACTTTTGGAAACTAGACTGTGTCACATTAGTCAACTGTCTAAAGGGTGAGTCCCTCGGGAAGATTTAGGATTTGGGAAGCTCTGCATATCAATGCTGCTAAAATCTAAAGCAGTAGGGAAAGGGAAATGTATCTCAATCATTGAGGGTTGAAGTGAAAACACTCTAGGACTGGTGGTCCCAGACTAACCTTTCCCTTGGAAATTTTTAGCTACATTTCCATTTCAGAGGTATAGAGTCACAACCAAAAGCACTAACCTGCGGACCTAGAAAGATAGAGGAGACCCATAGTCTGTCATTTACGTATCATCTGCCATAGAGAAACAAGGATATATAGGTTATAGAAGGTCAGAGGCAAAATGATTGAAGCATCAGAACTAAAAATGAGAAAGGGCATTCAGAGACCTCAGCTATGCAGCAAGCACTCTGTTTAAGAAATCCTGGTGTTTGTTACAGCCAGGCTCGTGACTTTCTAGCCACCCTTTACTGCCCAGAAACTACACTGCTATTCTGGAGGAAGTAAAAAGAAAAACACCTGATTTCAAGGATGTCAATAATTACTGATTAAGGCATAAGCAAGAATCAATTTAGTGCCAAAACTATCATCATCACTGTCCAGTCATCAAAGCTCACAAAGGAGCAATGACGCAGACAAGCAAACTCCTGGGTATTTGCACTGAACTAAGAAAGTAAGAAAGAATTGAGGCAGATCTGAGGGTATTGTTATATTTCTGGGATGCTGTGTCTGATGGGGAGATGCTGGCGATGGGCTAATACTGAATAGCTGATCAGAGAGAAGTAAATTATGTTTTGTTTGGTGACTCACAGAGATGAGACACATACATAAACACATTTGAAGGAATCAGTAAATCTTAATTCTATCACACAGACCCATCCTAGGGACGGGACTAAGTAAGGGTCTTTAGACTGATCTCTTCGCAGCAGTTTATATTAGAAGTTTGTCAAAATACATCAACCTGCTGCTAATCTGGCTTTCATGGCCCTGAAGGGCTTGGGATGTTGTGAAGATGATGGGTTAAAGATGAGACTTTATAATTTAATGGAAATGCAAAGGAGAAAATGTCAGGGTTCTGATATGGAGGTTCAGACATGCAAAGGCACGATCAGGATTGCTGATCTACCAGTCTCTCTCTCTCTCTCTCTCTCTCTCTCTCTCTCTCTCTCTCTCTCT